GGGGTGGGGGGCATGGCATGGGTCTGTCCTGGGGGGAGGGACATGACATAGCCATAGCTCTGCCCTGTGGGGTGTGGGGCCTGGCATGGCTCTGCCCTTCGGGGTGGGGTGTGCGTCCTCCCCTGGGGTGTGCAGGATGGGGGGCACAGTGTGGGTCTGTCCTAAAATGTGGGTGTGGGGAGAGCTCAGTTCTGCCTGTGGAATTGCAGGGAGGCAGGGGAGCTCAGATCTGAATGGCGTGAGTGTTGGCATTGTAATGGGCAGGGATAGTGTCCCTAGCCTCTGTCAGGGCTGGCAATGGGCACAGGGGACAGATCACTTGCTATTACCTGTTCTGTGCATAGTGGGATTGGGACAGTGTTGTAGTAGCTCAAAGTCAGTAGTGCATAGTGGGAAAGGACAGTGGAGGTGCCCTGCTGGGAGGCTCAGTATGGAGGCCTATTGAGGTTGGGATGGGGAGCTTAGTCCAAGCACAGGGTTGGTTGTTCTGAGACCAGTATCCCTGGTTCTTTGTTTTCCATGCTACTGTCATGTATGTCTTTCCCCAACCCCTCTGGTAAGGGACATAGGGAGCAGGCCAATTGGGCAATTATCAGATTAAAAGGTATGATTCAGTTTGTCAGTTCTCTCCTCAGGCCTAACCAGGCCAAGGGAGCCTGCTCAGTGTTCTTGGAAGTAGAGGTGGTTCCAAGGAAATCACAGAATTAAAGGACACGTGCCAAACTTGCAAGGCATTGAGTGCTCTCAATGCTCTTGGAGGGACTGGCAGCATTACCTGAGCTGACCGTGCTCAGAGCTTCCAAAAGACACTCAACACTTCACTGAGTGAGGCCCTGATTTGAGAAACATCAGGAGGACAGAAAACTAAAAAATAAAAGTTTAAAACAAAGTTTAAACATCCTTTTTAAAAAAATTCTGCTGTGAAGTGCTTTCTACAGCAGCGCTGGGTGAGATGTGACCCTGGGGCCGGATCCGACCCACAGACTACATCTGGCCACTATTTATATCCTGCTGTCCATTCTACCAGATTTCCAGATGGTGGCTCAGGCAGCAAGATCCTATTTAAATGGCTCTGGGTTGTGATAATACCCTGGCAGGAGCCAGAGCAATGAGCCCTTTACTGTGTTTTTAATTCAAAACCTCCTGCCTCACACAACTCCGGGAGGAGACTAGTCTCCAGCCCCACCCCACTGCCCAGGGGAGGCCCCTTCCAGGGGGTGGAGGCAGCCCATAAGCATGTATCAAAATTCATTAAGTGGTCCCCTTGTGAAAATTATTGTCCATCGCTGTTCTACAGGAATCGGTGCAGCAGCTTTAGTAACAATGGGTAACATACTTGGTGTCTGAGAATTGGGTCTTCTACAGTAGACTACAGAAGCTTAATACATTAATTTTATTGCTTAAACAGCATGTGTGTGATACTTTTTAACATGCCTGAATATAATCCTGTGTGCAGGGAAATGCACTATTTGCTAGTTAGGTGGCCCCTTCAAGGGAGGGCAGGGGAAGGTTGTTGGGATCTGTTTGGTCAGATTCAGAGTTAGCTAACACACTGCTTCACAACATAGTAACATCCAGACTACAGGAGATTTTGGTGCAAATGGACAAGAGGACTAAGACCTCAACTGCATTCATCATGAGTTTATTGATTTTTGTGCCCGTGCCAGGGATCTGTTTACCTTGGCATGCAGGTGAAACCAGCAATCCAATTGCTAATTCAAATAACCAAGATAATCAGGAGTACATCTCTGACCTAGTTCCTCTTTCAAGAAAGAACAGCAGTGAAGCAAGGTCATTTATCTTTACTGGGAAGAAGCTCTGTGTGACGTAAAATGAAGTGCTTCCTAGAGCCAGGGCATAACTGGCAGTTTGACATGCATAAATACACTGGCTAAGCTGCAGCCCTTTCAAAAATAGATATGGAACTAGAAACTCCATAACAGAGGAGGATCATGTCATGAGATGGATGAGGAACCAAATGTCTCCCCAGGCACCACAGGAATTGTAACTAAAAAATAAAAATTCTGCATCATAAGCAATGCCTGCCTGTTCCCACCTGACACCAGGTGCCTATGAATTGCTTCAGGGAATCAGGTATTTTATTTTGTAGTGTGAATTTACTGTTAGTGAATGGTGCCTGATTGCCTGGGGACTGGAAACCTGTTTCTTCCTGCAATATGAAGAGCATTAATGCCAGCTCTCTCCCTTCATCTCCACACATTACTTCCATACTGGCCTCTAAGGCTGAGGAGATATTTATTTCTGTGACCCATTTAGTCGTTGGTCTCTGAGCTGAGATTGCCAACCAGGTGTCAATAAATACTAACTTTACTGAAGCGTTACTGAGTTTTTTTAGTGATAGAAATGTATCTGTGTTAGTCTGGTGTAGCTGAAACAAAATACAGGACTATGTAGCACTTTAAAGACTAACAAGATGGTTTATTAGATGATGAGTTTTTGTGGGCCAGACCCACTTCCTCAGATCAAATAGTGGACGAAAATAGTCACAACCATATATACCAAAGGATACAATTAAAAAAAATGAACACATATGAAAAGGACAAATCAAATTTCAGAACAGAAGGAGGTTGGGGGGGGGGAGGTAAGTTTTTTTAGGTATCTTCACAAGTGACTGGACTGAAACTTTTCAACATAGGTCATACCAAGCAACCATTACAGAACAGCCACCTTCAGCCATTGCATCCTGGGGCCAGATTTGCACCAGCACAATGATTGCTGCGTATCAGAAACACCCTAGATAGGTATTACTTATAGATAATAGGCACCATATCCTATTGCCAGCCACCCAGTCCTACTGAGCTGCAATTAAGAGCAGCAGAAGAATGGTTGAGTGGCGAGGGCACTTGTCTGAGACTTGAGAGGTCTGGGTTTGATTACACAGCTTTATTATGTGATCTTAGAGAATCACTTCACTTACTATCTCTGCGCTTCATTCCCTATTTGAAAACTGGGAATAAGCAGTTTCTTACCTCACGTTGGTGTTGTGAAGATAAATACAATAAAGATCATGATGTGCATACAGATATTATAGTGGGTGCCATATGCGTACCTTAAATAGGCCTTAAATATAGTGGTTGCCATATGAGTACCTTAAATACTAGGACTATACATTCTGGCATTTCTTGTGCTTAGTGATCAGGCTAAATAAAAACTTTGCCTCTAGAAAGAGGCAGTCTGAGTTTGTTCAAGAAATATTAATGGGCACCCAGTAGACCAAAGGTTTCCCTTGTGTTTGGTTCCTGGCATCTAAGCACTCATTAAATCCATACACAGTTGTAAAAAAGTCTGTTGTCTTAGAATTCACCTGTGGTTGTGGATGCTGCTGACATTTGAAAGCTGCTCACCAGTCAGCTGAAATGGCATTCCGGGAAGCCATCCTGTCAATGATAAAGGATTAGAAAACCTGCCTTATAGTGAAAGAGTCAAGAAGCTCAATTTAGTTTCACAAAAATAAGGTTAAGGGTTGACTTGACTGACTACAACCTACAAGAACTTTCATGGGAAACAAAATATTTAATAATGGTCTCTTCAGTCTAATGGAGAAAAAGATAATCCAATAACTGGAAATTAAAGCTAGGCAGATTCAGATTAGAAATAAGGTGTCAATTTTTATCAGTGAGAGTAACCATTTAAACAATTTACCAAGGATTATGACTGATTGTTCATCACTGACCATTTTTTAATCAAGTTTTGATGCTTTTTGTAAAAAAAAATCTGCTCCAGGAATTATTTTTGGGGGATTATATGGCTTGTTATACCACTGGTCAGGCTGGATGGTCACAGTGGTTCCTTCTGCCTGGAAGTCCATTCTGACTTAGCAGAGCCAGCCCAGATGACAAAGAAAGGAGGATGTGAAACACATCATTTTAAAATTGATGTGGGAAGGAAGATAGTGATGGGGCAGAAAAGAAAGACAAGGTCAAATGGACCTGAGACAGCAAGGGAAAGAAGAAGGGAGGAGTAAGAGGTTAAGTGAAGAAGGGAAGGGGGGAAATCAAACTTACAGGGCTACTTAGAGGCTCAGAAATGAAGGGTGCATAAAAAGAATCAAAGAAAATGTTTTACTGCCACACATGCCACCTGTACAATCAAAGTAAAAAGGGTTTCTTCTCTCCATTATTTTTTAGCCACAGCAACTGTGCCTGGAGTATTCAAATTAGCACTACTAGTATTCTCCACGTGGCGGCAGCAAACAAACATATCATGCTTTAAAAAAACTAAATCTCCCCTTTTCACTATGAGTGAGTGGCAGCACCAGCTCTAGTAGCTTTCTGTGCAACTGTGCTAATGTCTGTGCATGGGCATATTTGTGTTAAGGTATATTTGTGTAAGAGCCCTGGACTCTGCACAACAATCCTCATTTCAAGAAGTTGACATTTTTGTAATACTGTAAAATGTCCTCATTCCTAAATATGAATTGGCAGAAACAAGAAATCAGCAGCTATTCTTAATTTTCCCGTTAAATGTGTATCTTAATATGATACTATTTTTGTAAGCATAACATTTGCAGGAGGTGTTATGTTGCTGAGAATAAGTGAAGGGAAAAATCAAACTTACGGCATGGCAAGGACTCAAATGAAACACTCATTAGAGGAAACCCAAAGAATCAGGAGAAATTGTTTCAATGCTAATGGTAAAATCAAATGCGTTAATTACTGTTGCAGTTCTAGCCCTAGCATTCTCTGTCTTTTGAGGGAATTTAACTGTATATACTCAGTGCTGCAATTTTCTTCCATTTGATGTGCATCAAATGTACTGTTCCTAGGGTAACACTTTGAACCCCCCCTCTTTACACCGGTAGTGAAGCTTTACACTCTTGGCCAGTCTATTTCCATGAGTACTCATAGATTTGAGACTACCTTTTTTAAAGCTTCATCCCCATTTGTCTCCTACGCGCATTCAACATGTTTGAATCTGCCTTTCTCTGGAATTCGTTCAATCTAAACTTAACTTCTCCCACTTGCAGGGCTCTACTCCAAAATGTTTTGGTGATAATGGCATCTGTCCACCAGGACCTGCACAGAGAAAGCTCACATTATTTCACACAGGTCCCAGATAACAGTCATCACGATTCTTGTTCTGTGAAGAGGAAGCGTGATCTACTGGTTTAAGCAAAGAATTGACCAGCAGGAGGTTCTAGTCTTATTGCAGACACCTTGAACAAGGTTACTGCTGTGCCTTAGTTCTGCCAGCCAGCTGAACAGGGGCATAATAAACCTCATGGAACTTTCCTGGGTGGTGAGGCTTATTTCACTGTGACAATGGTGATGCTTTGAGATCCTCACATGAAAGGTGCTCTAGAAATGCAAATAATTATCATTAACACCATCTGCAACTGGATTTGAGCCAGTGGCTGAGAGTTTGGAAGCTAGAGTATCTTTCCATAGAGCTAAGGGAATGCTTATCAATGGACAACCATTCCCCCCCACCCCAGAACTCATCAGGCTGCACATGCTTAAGCCTGATTTCCATAGTTCCTGATTCCTGACATAAACTAAGCCTCAGTTTTAAATTTTGCTCCCATGAAGTGGGGGTAGGGGCAGAAGAAGGGGCTACTATAACAAATTCTAATGCTCCAACAAATTTCCACAAACATTAAAGCCTATAAATCTCCAGCCAAACAAACCAAGCGATCTTTTCATGGGGGGAGGGGGTGTGAAACGCAGGTGCCAGCATTTGCTGGGGAAGAACTGGTACATTATCAACTAATCCGCCTTCTGCTATTTCTGATTTCCTCCCCAACAGCTGCGGCATTAAATGAGAGCTCCTGCATTTGGGAAGAATTAGAAAGCTTGAAGTAATGGAGGGGGTCTCTATTTGAGACACAGCAACTCACAGATAGGAGGGGGGTTGTGCTTCCACTGTGGGACCTGCATTAGGCATTTTACAGCTTGGAAAAATTGTCATGTTTCAGCTGTTCTTCTAGAACTATCAATGGAGAAAAGAAACTGTCATTTGTGCTACGATTCCCACTGATACCAATGTAATCACATGTACATGGTATGCTTTTGCATAGCCCACTGTTGGTACTGTGACACTGACACAAAATATAGATGTATCGCAAAACTTTTTTAGGTGAGGACATATGCTAATAGTTGATGATAAAACCTACAATACTATAAAACTATAGCAATGGTTATTATATGAGAGAACTAAAATCTTTGAGGCTAAGCTATGATTTATCAAGAAACTTGTTTTCAGTTTGTTTAGAAAAAAATTGGTGAGTGTGTATGAAAATTTTATTCAACACCAATCAAGGATCAGGGACTGATTGTGCTAGCTGGTGTACTGAGAAGTGCCACAAAAACACCTCTGTAGACTGAAGTTCTGCTTTGTTGCCGGAACAGTTATAGAACAGACAACATCAGGGCAAACTTCCCCTGCCAAAGTGTCTGATGTGTGGTCTGGAGGGACTGGGGCTAGAACTGAAAGGTCTCAATGGTCAATGGGGCAGGTTTTGTCGCTCCAGCGGAATGGGAGATAATGTCATTTTGTATCACAACTAAAGATGCAGCACAATTCAGAGCCATTAAATTTTCAAATCTAGAAACATCTTCCTCTAGCTAAGTCAGCTGAAGGAAGTTGACGTGGCATCTCATTTTGAGAAATGCAAGCCCGTTGCCATTTCCTGATTAAGAATTATTATAAGATCAAGGGAGACATTTTTGCTGACTGGCTCGAGTGTTAAGGGTAGGACCATTTGCCTTCAGTGAGTTTGGACACTGATTTTGCAGGCAATTGATCTGAGTCAAAGTTGGTCTTCGGAGCCCAATGTGACTCTTTTGTGGTGGAGCTGCTAAGCAGGAGATTGCAGCACCCTTCAGCCCTCTTCCCACTGCCCTCCCCTTTCTCCTGGCCCTGAACAAGAATTGGCCAGGCTCTTGTGGGAAGCAGCAGCCATGCAGTCATCCAGGAGCTGTAGAGAGGAACCCCAAGGAACTGTGGATAGAGCTGTGTGGGGGGCCATATTATGAATGTTGGATGTTACTGGGGGGGGACTACAAGGAAGAAGCAGCATGGCTCCGGTGAGAGAGACACCATCAAATGATCCTGGCCTGGAAACCCTGCAAGCTGCTGTTTGTTTGTATAGCAACTGGACTTGAGAAGGTGCCCCAGACACTAGGCCTCAAAATCCCTGACTCTCAAGTGGCCTGTCACCAAGGTCCTATGCAAAGACCACTGTGGCTCGCTTTGAGTACACTCTAAGCCTCTGTACTTAGGGTCTCTGCTATTTTCCCCCCTTTCCTACCAGCCCTAGTAAAATACCCTTTCAGTCAGCCATGTCTCTAAGTGGTTAGGGAGACCCATGGGGTGAGTGCCTACAAAGCCTTGCTGCTGAAGCACACATGACGCGCAACTGGTAGGTGAACTCCAGCTCTGAGCAGACAGTGGTTTGTTGGTGCTAAAGACCACCGAGGCCCTTTCCTCTCTGCTCTTGTGTTCAGTTGTGTGTGAGGTATCCAGATGCCCCAAGGATGCCACATTTGGCTAGTCTATTCCAGGCTCCCCTTATGTGCTTGTTCTGCTGGCTTCCATGTGACATGTCCATCCATCAGGAATGGTGCCATGGAAGGGGTAGTATCCATTTAGCATCTGGAGGAAATCTTACTGTATCATTATAGTTGGTAGGGGTTGCAGTCGAATGCTGAGAAATGGGAGGCAAAAATCTGAACCAGAACAAGCCTTATGAACGCAACATAAAACCTGCAGCTGCTTGTCCCTTCAACCAAGTGTTACTATGGTATTCCATCCACTTTGAAGGGGGATGCCAATTTCAGTGTAGGTGGGCGTAGATGGTTAGTTTGTGATACATGTGCCAGCTCCCCCTGCAGGAAGTCCAGTCTGCCAGAGTATAATGAAAGTTCAGTCCCACATGGCTCTCCACACACAATCACTCCTGCTGACATTTATATGCCAAGATGGAAAAAAACTAAAAAGAGGATCGGGGAGACTGGCTTGGCATTTGTGGGCACCCAAGGTTGCCAAGTAGACATATTGTATTGAAACAGTTGCCTGGGAAACATTTAAAAATACACTGAGTGGCAAAGCATATGTGATGTGCCCACAAGTGTTCTGTGTGAATGAAATGCCATGGCAGATAATGGCACCAGGGGACTGTTACTATTATGTGAAAAAATTCTGCATGTGTTGTTAATTTATGAGCACCTACGCCATGCTGGCAGGACAGGCCCAGAAGAGATCACCTAACCCTTGGCCGATGGTATCGAGAGAGCATGGTGCATTCGGTCATCATTCTCACACCATCCCATGGCTGGAGGTGATTAGTAAGAATACTCTGGCTTCACTGTTTACATAGACAAGTCCCATGTGTGACGTAGTGGGGGTACCTGGCTGGTTTCTATGCTGCTGGCTCTGGGGTAACCCCCACTGGCTGCCGTGGGTACCACGACCCAGCAAAACAGGATGAGTCACTATGCAAACCA